ATTCATTTCTAGTGGGAAAGGCACAAACCCATGCCAGGCCCACCCTGAGATGGATACCGAACGTTTTATTTTTTTTAGATTTATTATTCATCCATTTATTTTTTTTTAATTGACCAGAGAGAGGGACAGAGAGAGAAGGGGGAAAGTGAGAAAGCAAGCCACCAAGTCCAGGACTCGAACCATGGTCAGCCACATGGGAGTGTCCAGTGCCTTAACCACTATGCTGCCCGCTGGTCCCATGGATACTGAACTTAAGCTGTGAAATACTTCTTTCCTTGACCAAAAAATGATAGTGTAGGAGGAGGGTGGGAAATGGCAGGTTGAGAAATAGGGGTTAAAAAATACATATTATATATATATATATATATATATACACACACACACACACACACATACATATATACATATATATATATACACATATATATAAAACTAGAAATGGAAAATTTTTGACGATAACATGCATGATTAAGCCACTATGCAGTAAATTCTGGATGGGATATCACATCTTGTATGCTATGATGATGCTCAGGGAATGAATGTAATTTAACCAATTAATTAAAAAGTTCCAGGAGAAAATTACAGTGCACTTGTAACTAGATTCTAGCTCTGTCCACATTTTTAGTTGAAGGTGTTTTGTGAATCAATAAAATGTGAAATCCAAAATAATCAGTACCTACGTGTACTCTCAAAGGTATACAGGCATTGCATTAATACAACTATTCGTTTTTGTACTTAGATTTCTTCATTTTAATATTTGCATAATAAAATCATCTTAATCACTTTAAAAAAAAAAAAAAAAACTCACACAAGACACATGTGTGTGCATGTCCAAAACCCTGAGAAGAGAATAGCGGAGAAGGCATTGCCACGTGACCATCCTCGTAGGGGGGTGATTTCTCACTTTCTGTCTTTCTGTCTCTCTGTCTCTCCGGTGAGCACATGCACCCTACAGCAAAAATTTCTAAAAAGTGGGAAAGAAAAAAAACACCTGTAACTGAATTTTAGCTATTTCGATTCACTGGTGGGCAGTACCAGCTCCAAGGCATCCCACCGATTCTCAAACCAAAACCAAAGCAGCATGTTTGTGTGGGCCTCTCCCAGCCCAGCTGCACTCTCTCGCCTTTGTCCAGCCAGCCCTTCCCTAGCACCTTTAAGAAGAGCTCTCAACTCCTTATGCTTGTCAAAGATAGCCATGTCTGCAGCAGAGCAGGAAT